ACCTGCACGGCAAGCAGTTCCTGATCGGGAGCCACAGAAGTGGCCACCCAAGCAGACAGCTGCTTGCAGAGGAGCCCTCGCCTAGGCACGTCAGGAGGCATCTATATGAACTAACGGACGAAGTCCAGAGGTTCACTAAGCAACCTCTGGACCCGACAGCTTACAGACAGGCCCTGAACGGCATTCACAGGGACTCAGTCTCGAGTTATGTAGACTCTAGACCTGTGAATGCCGTTCTAGGCACACCACCCCCGGACATAGACGAGACGGAGCTTCATCTGCCTCGGGAGACACGCACTACACTCGCACAACTTCGCTCCGGCTACTGCAGCAGGTTAAACTCCTACTTGAGTAGGTTGAATGAGGATGTGCCGAACGAATGTCCGGCATGCGGAGAGACCCCACATGACTCGAAACATCTCTTCGCATGCCCGGAAAACCCGACATCCCTAACGGCCTTGTCCCTATGGGCAAACCCCGCAGAAGCTGCACGCTTCCTAAGGTTGCCGTTAGTGGAACTTGACGACAACGACTGAGATACCAACCGATCTGGGGGGGGGTGTTGTAGCCGCTACAACAACAACAACAACATTGATTTGTTGACTTAAAACACCGAGGTCGCGGGGTCAAATTCCACCACATGCAATCCTAACTATAGTACACATTTCTGCTCTTTAAAGCCCAATTTATATCGGGACGAATTGTTAATGGCATTATCCTTGTAATGTGAGTTTATGACATTCGATACGATACTAGGATTCTGGAATTCGATGCCAAAAAATATCCTTTTAAAACTATCGAGTAAAAAATATCGGTATCGCATGCTAAAAGTATCGATGTGGTATCGTATCGTATCGAAATTCGAATTCCTAATAGGGCTTTCGCACGCTGCGATTTTTCAGGCAACTTTTAGTTGAAAGCAAAAATCGCCTCGTCCAACGGCCTTTCAACTAATCGCTTTCAACAAAGTTGGTCGCCAGCCAACTTTGAGATCGTTCAACTTTTTTTCCTTGCAACCCTGTGTTTCTTTACATTCTGTATCAGTGTTGGGAAATGAAATCGTTCCTTCAGTACGAAATCTATACAAAAAATGTACTTTTCGGCTATAAATTGTATACACTTTTTAATTCGCTCATATATTTTCTTAGTACATTCCCTTCAAGACCAATGATTTTATGGTATTCATGAGAAAGTTTTATTGTTTATGTACATACGTTTACGTATTTTACACTTTTACAAATTGATTCTACGTGCACATGCACTGCATTTAACGCAAATATGTATGCACACATTTTCAGGTATACATTTTAACGAAAAGCATATTTAAGTTGATATTAATGGATAAAAGAGACATTTTCTTTGGATTCAGTACTAAAATTTGACATTTTTATAGCATTTCACGTGCTTATCAAAACTTTACGACAAGATTTGACCATTTATCTTTATATTATTAAATTTTAATTATTTTTTGTAAAAATACGGTTTATATTTTAAGAAAAGCCGTACAAATCCAAGGTCCAAACTTTGTGCAACATTAAAAAAAAAACAACACACTTTCGTAAAAATTTCGAGCTTTTTAATTCGATTTCCTAGTTTTGTTTTGAGTGTGCGGTTTTTTAGCAATTCAATTTTAATATAAGTAAGTTTTTTAAGATTTCTTTGATGAAGGTGTTGCTAATTTTCTCCATATAAAAATATCGTCGAACACACTTCGTATGGAAGAAAATGACTGACATCGTCGACAAAAAAAAATGCCAAGTTCAACGGTAAGTCCCAGCTACTTTAAACTTGCACTTTATTATACTAAAATTGAATGGGCTAAAAACTAAAGAATATTGATAAAGCTTGAAATTTTTACGAAAGTATGTTGGTTTTTGGATGTTTCGCATAGATTTAATCTTGGGTTTATACAGTTTTTCGTAAAGAATACATTATATTTTATAAACAGATAGTTAAAATTAAAGAATAATAAAATAAATAGTAAATCTTCTCAATATGTGAGTGCCGTAAAGGTATTATATTTAAGAAAATCTCTTCTTATAACTAACGAAGACTTTCTTTCTATATGAAGTTGACTTCGACATTTTGTTTTAATAAAACTTAGTATCGAAAAGTTTCTTTAAAAATTTGCCTAGGCTGTATTATACTGGTTCGTTCAAGCCATTTTTCAAAACTTACAAAGGTAAATACGAACTGGCGAACAAAAGAGAATACAAAGAATTTCTTGCTGTGAATTTTCAGAGCAGTATATTTTTAGTATTCATTACAAAATTGTATTAAAAAGTACTGCGTAGTAGGAAAGTATATTGTAAATGAAATTGTATCAAACAAGTACAATTGTACCAAAAAATGCCAACACTGTTGTGTATACATATTTTTTTTCTTTTTTACTTTTTTACTCTTATTTTATCTTTCAGCTTCGCTAAAAGCACTATACCAACGCTTGGCTTACCAAATTTACGCCAATTGATAAAATTTGGCGATTTAAACTCATTTTAAATAATGTAAACAACAATTCGAGTTGAATCGAAAATCGCCTCGTCTGAATAGGGATGGCAACTTTTTCACTTTCAACTTCTCATTCAACTCCGCATTCAACTTTTGTTGCCTGAAAAATCGCCGCGTGCGAAAGGCCTATAACTTCATTGATTTGTATCTTCACTTAAGTAAATAGAACGAGCTTTCAAAGAATGTGCAGATTTTAAATAATTAAATATAAAATTTAAATGGATTATTAAGGGATTAGTGGAAGTCATAAAATACCCATTATACTGAATTGGAGACATTACTAAATATTAATAAATTGTATATGGTTTTTCATTTGCCAATACATAATAGCGTTCCGTACTGGCCAAATTATTTAGGTCCTAAACCAAATTCAGGCAAAATTAAAATTGGATAAAAACGTAAGCACTATAAATTCACGAAAATTCATAACTATGAGCAAGTTGGCGTATACAACAGCCAATCTCTCCGATATACAGCTAAAGGAACAAGGAAACCAACTGTTTGTATTGCGCAAGTTTGACGAGGCTGTGGGCTGTTATACTAAAGCAATTGTAAATATGCATATCAAATTTGGCATAAGTGCAGTATAGCGGCAGGTGAAACAAAAAAGGGAAAATTTTCCAATACGGAACCCGGCTTTTAAAAAAAGCAAAAATGAGGTGGTTTAGAGCGGCTTTTTGTGATTGTAAATCTGAAAACCCCACCCTCCGGAGTCGTATAGTTTTTATGAAAATTGAATTTTAAGTTGCAAAAATTGTCAAGNATGAGCAAGTTGGCGTATACAACAGCCAATCTCTCCGATATACAGCTAAAGGAACAAGGAAACCAACTGTTTGTATTGCGCAAGTTTGACGAGGCTGTGGGCTGTTATACTAAAGCAATTGTAAATATGCATATCAAATTTGGCATAAGTGCAGTATAGCGGCAGGTGAAACAAAAAAGGGAAAATTTTCCAATACGGAACCCGGCTTTTAAAAAAAGCAAAAATGAGGTGGTTTAGAGCGGCTTTTTGTGATTGTAAATCTGAAAACCCCACCCTCCGGAGTCGTATAGTTTTTATGAAAATTGAATTTTAAGTTGCAAAAATTGTCAAGTTCAACCTCACTTTTTGCTTTGTAAACCAATTGTACTACAATGTCGGTGCTGCCACACAACAAACATGCCAAAAAAAGCACTAAAAACGAGAAACAACAAAAACGGGCATTGTAATTAACTTTTTTTTTTAATTAAATATCGATGTACTGATAAAAAAAGTGATTCAGTCTAAAATCGACAGATTTTGCAATATAAATGTTAACTTAGTTGGGTGGGGTTTAGTACCGCTCACAACTATTTCGGGCTATTCCGTCCAAATGGGTGGCCCGATCCAAAAAAAAAATTCACACACTTGTAGTCAAGGGTCCACGCAATATTTTAACACTCACTTTTGTAAATTTTGGTTACTAATTTATTTACAAATTGGGTTTAAAATATGGCCTTTTTTGTAAAATTCGGAAATTAGCGTACATTTATCACTCCTATTCTGCTTAAATTAGCCA